CATAGAGCCATCTTCCATTTGAATAGCAGTTAGGTTACCTGACATGGCAAGGTGATACCCTATTACAGCTTCAGTGATGTAACTGAAATTGTGATTAGCACTCACTTTTGATGTTGTGGGGAGGGGTAGCAAATTCCTCACTTTCCCAGAAACTCAGTCCATGCTGATATGAAATCTACGCTCCTCCCCCAAGTTGCCACATTTTCCCTCTGAATTTCTCAGAGCTGCCCAGCCCAAAAGTCCCTGGAGACAGAGTCCCATAGCTTTTGAAAGGGAGCCAATGATTATGACTAAACACATGTCTTTTCTGCCTGGTCAGGGTATCATCCTGGTCCATCCTGGACAAAAACAGATGTTGTGCGAACCTGCTGTTGACTTTTGTGCCGAAACTCGGACACAAACCAGGTTTAAACAAAGTTGGGGGATTTATATGAGGCCGAAGAAAGGACAACCACAACACACAGCGAACAACCGGCAGCAGGGAGGGCTCCTGTTTGCAAATCTTCCCTAATGTAGTAAAAAATAAACGCAATCTCCATTTTACAGTCCGGCCTGGAGAATGAGAGGGGATGCAGGGCCGAGGGTAGATCTGGCGACCCACAGAGTGGGCACCACCCAGGCTGCGGATGCTGTTTTTGGTGATACCCACCCGCCTCCTCCTCAGAGCAGAATCTTGACAGACTGCAAGCCCCCTGGGGCCGGACCCGCCCCCCACGCTGCTGTTGTCCTGCCACAGCTGTTTCCGTGTTTTATTACGATTTTCTCCGCCTTTCAGTTTGCAGGCCAAGGGGAGTCTCAGGGGACCCATCTGTTTCTGCTGCCCTTTTCCCTGTTCCCAGAAGCCACGCTCACACATGCACGCGTGCACACACACGCCACACCAGGCGGCGGTGGAGTCCGGGAGGACAGTGGGGAGCCGGAACCCCAGTGACCGTGGCCCACCCCTCCGCACCCTGGGCAGAGGTGGATCCTCGGATGCGGCCCTCCTCAGAACAGCGTGGTGAGAGGAGCATCCACACAGGAACCAAACCCTATCGATGGAACAACAGGCTTTCTTCCCAGGAGAACTTTCTGTCTTGTTTTTTGTTTTTACTTAAACTTCGCTATTTAAAAATAAATAAATAAAACACGCAGGGGGGAGGTGGAGGCGGGTGGGAAGAGATCAACCAAACAACTTGTATGCACATATGCATAACCCATGGCACAGGCCTGGGGGGGGGGGGCGGGGGGGTCTATAAGGGGTCAATGGGGGGAAAAAGGGGACATATGTAGTACTTTCAATAATAAAGATTTTTTTAAAAAAGAATATTCTCCATTAGAAGATATAGATAGATAGATAGATAGATAGATAGAGAGATAGATAGATAAATGATAAATAGATCCGGCTTAGTGATTGAAGCCCACAGGGCTAGCTCACTCGAGTCTACAGCACCTAAGAGACGGGGTCCCGTCACACTTAAGAAAAGTTACAAACTTATTAAAAGAACACGTTTCCCCCTAAGATTGCGCAGACTAGAGTCTCTCCTAACAGGAGTGGCATTCTACAAGCCAGGCAAAAGACCCCAAGGACAAAGCTCGGTCTCAAAGAACGCGGTCACACTGAGGTCCCCACGCCGGGCTTTTTGATGACTATTTTGTCTTCAGAATGTGGCAGGAGCGAGTCTTCAGGTCCTGTGGGCCTCTGTCCAGCCTGGGTCTCCCTCGAAACGCCTAGGAAAAGCTGCTGCAGCTCTCGTCCTCCTTCTTCTGCCATCAGCATTTTCAGGAGCCCCAGTTTGCTTGTTTCTAGGTTGTCCAAGAACCTACACACTGAATCCTAAACACCGCTCGGAGCCAAGCAATACCTGTGGTTCTTTTTCCAGTCCCACTCTTCACGCTCCCCAATGGGCTCATCGCCAACCTTCTCCCTGGATAATCCATCCCACGCCCATCGCACATCACCCTTGTAGACCAGGGTTTCTCCACCTCAGCACTGTTGACGTGCTCCTGGAAGCGGGCTGTCCTGTGTGTGTGTTACATATAGGGGTTTAGAACATTCCTGGCCTCTGAGCACTCAATGTCAACAGCACCCTCTCCAGCGGAAGGAACCCCAAACCGTCTCTAAAATGGTCCCCTGGTGGGGAACCATTGCCGTGGGGCTGTGTTCACATGATTCTTGGTCTGGGACATACTCTTCCTCTGTCTCCTAGTTAGAACTCTGAAGACTTAAACCCTCTCTTCCTAAGACCTTAAGTGAGTCACTAGAGCTGGTGTAGCCCACGCCTTTTCCCCGTGCTACCTAGATAACTCCCAGATGTTTCTTTGTATTTGACTTTGACATTCACAGCTGTTTTAAGTGGGGTTGTCTCTTCTACAGCCATAGCTCTCTAGCTTCTAGATGGCTAGTGTCGGGCCTTATTCTTTTATTAAGTGTCACCCATCACACTTAGCAGGTCATACAGTGTTCCACTCGCACAGAGGAACTAGTGAGCCCTCAATAAATATCAGTGAAAGGAAGAAAGAATAGAGGGAAGGAGGGAAGGAAGGAAGGAAGGAAGGAAGGAAGGAAGGAAGGAAGGAAGGAAGGAAAGAAGGAAAGAAGGGAAGGAGGAAGAGAGGGAGGAAGGAAAAATGGAAGGAAGGTCAAGAAGAAAGGAGGAATGGAGGGAAGGAGAAAGGGAGGAAGATATTGAATAGCTTCTCATAGAATGGGATGGGCACTACCATCTCCACTTTGTAGATGAGCTCCCTTACATTCACCTGCCAAGCCTCAGGTCCCAGCTCAGAAGTAGCTGGGCGGGGTTGTAACCCCCTTTCCAGACAATGTCTAGTCTAGGTCTGTCATCAAAGAAGCAAAATGTATTTACTCTCCTAGAAACCAGCACAGCTCACTGCCAAGCCTGCAGCTGCTCTGCCGCCTGCCATTCGAGGGAGAAATCAGGGCACCTCGGGGGTTTGGTTCCAAGGGAGGCCATGCGGGGAAGCCTGGAATTTTCCTCCCTCCTTCAAGGGAGAGACCAGCAAGGATCTTTCGGGCTTGGCACCCTGGAGATTGCCGATAGGAACACAAATACAAACAAACAAAAACAAACAAAAACCAACAAGCAAAACCCCACAATGTATTAGCCCGGGTCTTCGGAGAGGCAGAAGCCAGGATGGGATGAAATTTGCAAGGCCTTTATGAGAGGAAATGCCTGTGTGAGGGAAAATAGGGAGGGAGCTGGAAAAGCTGGGAGCCCTGTCAGACCACAAGACAAGTCTGACCCTGACGGAGGAGAGAGAAAGGCATCGCAGAGTGCTGGGCAAGACCACATGGGAATTCTCCAGCCAAAGTCAGCCTTCCCAGAACGCCAGGTCTCCCGAGAGAGAGAGCACGGCTCCAGGCGCCCTTGCTGTGCTTAGCCCCTGACCAGCAGCAGCTTCTGGAAGGCGTGGCTTCTGCACCACCATGACCTTGGGTCTCACAGGGCGACTGCTGATGACTTTGGGTAACTCTGCTCCCTGTAGGGTGAGGTGTATTCTCAAGGGAGGCAGGGAAGGGGTTGCTCAACTGAATTCAAGTAGATGGGATGCCTGTTGGCTGAGAAGAGGGCACGATTGGTGAACAATGGGACGGGACTGGCTCAGCCCACAACGCGTGGACACAGCCAATGCATTTTCCTCGTCCGCTGAGTCCACGTAACCACTGTTCACAATGGACACCGCTGTTTCCCCCGAGCGCCTTTGTCATCTGTAGGGTGCAATGAAGCACCCTCCGTTTCTTTACTACTATGGCCCTTACGCTTTTCTTCTCACCTGGGAAAATACCGTGCATGGTGTGAACTGCAGACAAGTGGCAGAAATGTGGAGTGAGAGGCAGAAGAATCCATGAAGTCCAGCTCTCAAAGGAAATCTCCATGGCCCCTTGCGTGTGTCCTGCACGTGTGAGAATGAGAAGTAGGGTGCGGTGGTTTGTTGAACTTCTATTTAGCACCTCATGCTGAGCACCTGTCTGACTGGGTCCTCCTGATGACCCCGTGAGGTAGGTAGGGCCCATTAGCCCCACTTTCCAGATACTCAGGTGAAAGGGCAACAGTGAGAAGAACCAATCAGACACTGAGAGTCAGGTCAGCTGAGCGCTGAACCAGGGCCAGAGGGCAAGGAGCTGGCAGCGGAGGACCACTGAGGGCTCCAAGCCTCTGGACAGAGGGAGCCGCTCACACCGCCGGCCCTGTCCTCTCTCCCAGAGGCTTCGCTAGACTATATCCCTCGACAGGATATGCCATGTGAACGCTGGAAAACGTTCCCACCCTTTCTGGGAGACGGACTGGGTGTCTTCCATCCATGAGCGTCAACCCTGCATTTTCGACACAGGAGTCAAGGGAGAGAAAAGACCGTGCACTTGGACTAAGTTGCCTGTCTTCCTTTCCAGTTGTTGGAACAAAATCCCATATCGGGGAAAAGTTGGTCTCTACAAATGATGCAGAGTTTCCGTACCAGCAGGCCCTTCCCTACCCCCAGATGTTAGTCCTGCTCTCCACGGACCGCATTTGCTCTGGAAAAAGCAGATGCCGTCCCAGAAGGAGAGAACAGAGTCCTATCAGAGGCGGTGACGTTGGACCATGTGTGCCTTTGATCATCTCTGTTTATAGGGCCGTGAGATCTGCTCACTGGGCTTTCTTTTTCACCGAAGGGGTTATTACCCTGAGTTGTGGGGACCCTGGATTCTTTATCACCCCCAGTGGTCTCAAGTTGTAAATTTCAAGCCACTATTAACATGGCCAGACAGATTTTTAAGCCTCCTGCAGACAGCATGCAATTAACCATCTCCTGTCAGCTGGAAAATCCGCTCAATAGCCATTCAAGTTCATGTCCAAACTCCTTTGCATTAGGGAAGGCTTACAAAGCTTCCTTGCGTCTCAGAACTAGACTCTCACTAAAGCTATGGAGACAGGAAGAAGTCCAAAATGGGGGCGATGCGCCAGCCATGAGAGGGAAGTGTTATGCAAAAGACCGTATAAGTCAGTCACTGTAGCCACCAGTTGCTTTTTACCCAAATCATTTTATTGGAGTCATTTTGCAAGTAACTCCTACAACGCACCAACCCATACATGCTTTAAGCAGTGCGCTCTATCCATCCCCAGAACTAACTTTACATGCAGGTGACTACTGACCTGGGGCAAACAGCGGAATGAGCAAGCGGCATGCCTGTCAGTGGCTGGGGACGCCATCATGGGTCACAGGCTACAGACCCTTCTTGTCGTGAAGCAGAAGGATCGGTGCACAGAGCGAGTCCCTCATCCTTGGCGCTGGCAGCCTGGCCGCCAACTCAGAAGAGAGGCACCATCTCCAACCACCATAAGAAGTGATGCCAAGGGCAAAGGCTGTGTCGTTCCTTGGGACGGGGCAGGACTGATCATTGCTCAGAAGACTTCGTGAGCCAGTGGCAGGAACTAATGCAAATAAAAGACAACTGAGTTAGCCTCCCATGATCTTGACGACATTTACATTGTTGACTTGATTTTCGCACTAGTTCCCCCTTTAACCACTCTACGAATAGTTCACATTGAATGGCCTATCCTCTCTCCTCCTCCTCCTCCTCCTTCTCCTCCTTCTATGTTTTGGGGCTGTTCTAAGTGCTTTTCATGTATGGACTCTAATCCCCGCCATTGCATAAGATCAGCTCAATTTACCCATTTTATAGACGAGAAGCTAAGGCACAGAGAGGCTCTGGAATTTGCACAAGGCTCCAGGATGTAAAATGGTGGAGCAAGGACTCAGACTCAGGCAGTCTGACTGCCGAG